TTCCAAATAATTGGAAATTCCTCACGGATTTTCCAGATAACTGGAAATTAATTTCATTTTTCGAATTTCCAAAAGTCCATATATAAAATCGCCGAGGAATTTCCAGATTGAAAATCGCTGAGCATTTCCATAATTCTAGAAAATCGAACATGAAATTCGACCTCGAATTTCAAGAATCTTGGGAATTATTTATAGAAATTCGACTTCGAATTTCCTGAATTCTCGAAAATCGAGATCGAATTTCCAAGTTTCTTGTAAATTCGATTTTCTAGAATCTAGAAAATCCTCAGGGAATTTATATATGGACTTTTTGAAAATCGCCGAGCATTTTCTATAAATAATTTCCGACATTACAGTGTAGTTCTGCAGCATCGTCAGTCTATTCTATCATTAGTTTATGTAATAGCTGAACAAACCCACTATGGCAACTGTAATGAAAAGTCATTCTTACTGTTTGTTTAAGACCATATAAGCAGTGAAAAGGTCAAATAGAGTGCATATATTACCTATAATTAATTGGCACAGTTCAGGTTTCATCGGATGTGTTATATATAAGAATTAATAAAAAACTATATATAGAAAAAAATGAATAAAATGAAGAAGGAGAGAAACATTTAATATGTTTTTTCTCTGATACAAACATCAAAGAGAAGCTCTTTACATTTTATGATTGCTTCGATTCTGTTTGTTCGGTTTCCTCCGATCATAATTCTGACGGCTTTCGCTAAGCTACGACGTTAACAGAAGAAGACTCTAGAAATGAACCTACGGTTGTTTCTGATTAACTGTTTTTCGGGTTTCACGTATGTGTGTATTAGAAACCTTCCTCTTTAGTAAGTCTTATTTCCAGCGTGTAAATGTCTTTCCAGTTAATAGTGAAGTTTTTCCTTATAATAAAACCAAAAAAGGAAACTGCTGTGTGTTTTGAAAAATTCCGTTGCCAATCATGAACCTATAAGCACTTATGAATAAAAGTTGACGCTCCTAAGTCACAAAAGCTTTTCCTAACAGCAAATATGTCATCGGCAATTAATGACAATCTGAAATGTCAGTTTTTCATATCATATTACTCAACGAAACTTGCGAGAAACTCATGCTGATTCACCAAAATAATGAGGTCAGGCGATCTCAAAACCGTTGTTAATAGACTTCTTGGGAACGAAAACTCCTATAACGACGGCGTTTGTAAGCATAGGTATATAGGTTTAGAAATTTCGGATCCTGCGACCATTTCTGCCCGCTGTGTCCCGCGGATGCTGATCTATTTTTCCTAAGCCTAGTAACTTGACCAACAGAAGATTATCCTGAGGTGGTCGATTTTCTGAGCAGAACAGACCAATAGTTTTCTCTTCTAAGCGGGTTTACTGACTACGCACAAACTGAAAACCGAAAATTTAATTTAATCACTAATAATAGGATCATAGTGATGTACATCGTGCCTTTGTGAATAATTAAAGCGGAATTCGGTGTCAGTACAATTATTAGCTCTTAGACTTAATACAATAGAAGCAATGTTGGTATGCGTAGAAGCGCGGTTTTTATCTCCAAAACGACATCTGACATAAGGATCATTTGCAGGGATTTTCGCTCTAAGTATGGTCTTTCTCTTTCGAGCGCAATACGAAGGATGTCTAAAGGTCCTGTGTTTCTCGAGAAAAACTAAACACTAAAATCAGTCTGAAATGATTATTTTTCAAGTGTAATAACACTTAAAAGTAGCTTTCTCTGGTCATTTTAAAGCATAAATACGTTGGCATACCGAATGTTCTTTTCTAAGAGCGAAAAAAAAAAATTATGCTCCAAACGACTTGATTAATGTAACGAAAATACAATGACTTCTCCTCTCACCCGTCATTCTCTTTGCACCACTCATACTCAATAATTCTCTCCATTCATTTTATATCACTCTCTCTTTGTACATATGCAATATCTCTCTCTTATTGTTAATATTTCTATCACTCATCTTTTGTTGTCTGCATTACGTATTTTCGTTGTACAGCACTAACATTTCAGTCTATTGTATAATAAACTCAGCAAACGATAGACTTCCTTTACAGTTAACTTTTCCGACAGCTTAGAAACTTACTTCTGATGTTTGTCTCCTGTTCAACGGTCAATGCAACTATCCGATTCTTCTATATTTTTTAAAAATAATAGACAAATTGATTAACATAATTAGTATTCAGATCTTAAGGTTTCTCTTGCTTTGCTTTTTATATATTTCAAATAAAAAAAAATTTATTTTACATTCACTTCAGAAACTAGACGAAATCAATTAACTATATAGTATAAATTACGTGAGCGTATTAAGTTAGCAACAAGAAATGTTAATAATTTTTATATATTTTTCATATTTACATTTCTAAGGCATAAGAAATGCTGATATAAATATATAAAAATTAATAGCATTTCTTGTTGTTAGCTCAGTTACGGTCACCTTCTGACTAGTACCTTCTAGTAGTAAACTAACTTCGTAAGTATATCTATCTACTAGTTAATCAAGTAGTTTCGTTTGTTAAGTGATGTAGCCAAAATTTTTATGCCGTCATCTCAGTAGCAAAAGTACCAATCTCGTTTTTTTAGATTATGCTTTATTGCTGACAAGGAAACCTCTGGACATGCCTACCTCCGATTCAGATGATTTATATGTCCATCAATAGAGCGCAGCGAGCTGGTAAAAATACTCAGTGGATTTCTCCACACGGTGCTTCTTGCAGGAGTAATGGAATTTTTTCATTTTTTTCGCCCTCTCCTGGCTGAAAATGGTTGAAATTTAATAGCTCCGCTGGCATAACTGATAGACAGCTAAATCTATTTACTGTAGTAGTAGTAGATGTCCATTATTTCCATGAAAGGTTTTAGCCTTCTAGTCCTATTATTTGCTGAGCTATAGAATTTTCTTTTCCTATGCAAAATGTATAAATTTGTAAAAAATTACTGCCGTCAAGCACCATCAAGAAATGTCCTAATTATAAATTTTTGATGACTATTTCTCTTTTGCTTTACAGAAAGATATTTGTACGACAAAGTCAACTATATTTTCATTATTTTATTTAATAATATAGAAGCTTTCAACTCGGACTAGAGTCATCATCAGCCATTCACGTTTATCAACGTTTTCTCAACAAACAATATTAGCTTTACAGAAAGATATTTCTTTCGTTCACTGCAGCTATTTATATCTCTCGGAAAACTTATGCATTTTCCATAGAAAAAGAAAATGCTTTAACTTAGCAAATAATAGGAGCAGAAGGCTAAAACTTTTTATGAAAATAATATACAGATAAAGCCGTCTATTAGTTATGCTAGCAGAGCTATTGAACTCCTAGCGTTCTTGACCAGGAAAGGGGAAAAAACCGAAAACATTCAATAATTTTTGAAAGAACCGCCAGAGGGAGAAATCCTTTTAGGATTTTTACCAGCTCGCTATGCTCTATCAATCCAATATAACTCATTTGAACCGGAGTTGGGTATGTCCGGGGGTTTCCTCATCGGCAGCAAAGCATAATCCCAAAAAAAGAGATTGGTACTTTTCAGGGGTGTAACCGGTATCAAAAATGCGATACCGGTACCGGTCACCGATATACAACCTTCGTACCGGTACCAGATCGGGGCCCGCCGGTATACCGGTCGATACCGGCTTGTCTTGATCGTGTTTTGCCTAAATACAAACACTTTTTCCTTGTTTATAGAAATATGTCATAGATGAACTGAATTTACACGATATTTTTCGCCAAGGCGTATCACACTGCAAAACACCAGTAATGTCGACCGATTGGTTATACTTCATACTAATACCAGTATACCGGTCACCATTATAATTCATACCGGTACCGGTTGCACCTCTGGTACTTTTCCAGCTGAGGTAACGGCATAAAAATCTTGGCTACATCACTTAACAAAAGAAACTAGATAGGTTTGCAAAATGATCCGGTACCCCAATTCTCTTTCAGGTCTTTGAAATCACAAACATAGCTCTTTCGAATCAGCTTTCGACGTCAAATTGGAAAAAGTTAATTTCGGCATTTCGGAATACTTCTGAACTCCAGGAATTGGATTTAGGTGATTATTATACGTTTTTTCACCAAAACTGGCTTCGGTCAGAACACTCATTTTCCCTCACAAAAGTTTTTTCGAATGGTAAAAAACACATTTTCGTGACCATCTCAATCTGCTCTATCCAACCGTGTATAACTAAACGAAAAATAAAATTTGCTTTAATTTTGAATTAACGGCATTCTATGTCAAATCAGACAACACAACGATGATTAATACCTACATTTTCCTATTAACTGAAGAAAAAATATTTTTCCTACATGAACTTGGATTAAAATCTGGTTCTAAAAGGAACAAGGATGTCTGGTAAACAATGTTTTCTCAATTCGAACAAATCTCTTGTTTTTGATTCCTTCGGTTACTCTTATTAATGAAGGTGACTATAGAAAAAAATATATATATATCTGCACGTGTTTTGATGATGAAGAAGCTCGTTATATCGGAACATTTTTAAGCTAACGTAAAAACAGCGAAAAGACTGAATGTCCCACAGACACCAGTTTTGTTCGTTATGTTTGAAGACAACGTATAATTATAAAACTTCAACTTTTTAACCGTTGTCGTTTTGATGATGGTAATACACTGCAGGCAAATAAAAATTATCCGTTTTTTGTGCGGGAACTACTCTTGAAAAGTTAAGGAAACCTACATTCGATCATTGATTTCAGTCGGTCGTATTTGTTTCGATGGTCGTCCTGTATAGAGTAAATCAAACGATTCAAAAAATGCTTAGTCCTGAGACTCAAGAAATCCTCAAAAGGTTTTTCTTACTAAAGGTTGTCTGACTGAACTTTGAGAATCGAATTTCATGAAACTTTCTTCATCCGTTTCATGCTCTCCCGTAATCATATGTATAGCAAAAAGCATACTTCTTGTCATCATTATTTCTGATACACAATGACTATCCTAAACCATTTCATTATTTTAAACTAAGGCAACGAATAAAAATACGTGCTGTCGATCAATGGCAACTTGATTTTTTATATCCAATACTAAAAAATAAGAAATAATGAGACTGTCATTATTATGATAGAAACGGAATTAGGAGTATAATATTACCTGATCCTGTCTGTTCTTTTTGTGATTTATTTAAATCATAATCAGAAGTTAATTTTAATAGGGTTTTTTGTAATTGATATGGACATTTATTGTCGGTAATAAGTGCCACTTTTAATCTACAAAAATCGTAATCAATAGCCATCTGTAGTTCGTTTGTTACCACTCACTCAATTTCATCATTAATCATATTTTTTTCGTTTATTGTAACAAGACTAGGATTTGTAGTTGGATGTCGAGGATCGAGAGTCTGATTTAAAAATGTGTGAAATGGCGATAAATAATATACAATCTTGTTATTAAAAGTGGCTTTCATGACAGCAAACATAATCAATTGATAATGACTAGTTCTACCTGATGACATTAGGTTTTTTGATATTTTGAGATATCTAACGAGTAAGTATAGAAAAAGCATGCTGCTATACCGAGACTTTATTAATTTGCTCTTACTCGAATTTTTGGATATACTTTATCACCAGCACGAACTTTATCTTTTGCTTTAATATACGTTGGAGATTTATAACCTTGCCGTCTAAATTATTGAAAGGCAATAAATCGTTTTCAAACTTTTCTAGTAAAACTTTGTTGTTATCCGTACGGTGCCTCCTTTGGATTTACAGGATAAATATCACTCCCATACTGTAGTCGTTGTTCATACGCAACATTATTTTGGAATGATATAGGAGTCATTTGCACTGCTAAATTATAATAAAAAAGAGTTGTAAGAACACAAAATTTTAATTCTTTTGAGTAGTTTTTGACAAATAATAAATAGAAATCGTATTATTTGAGGTCTTATCTAGGAGTTCTTTTGGCATTTCTACTTTCCAAACTTTCAACTGTAACGTAACATAATCACGAAACATATAACTAACATTAGGCTCATAGCGCTGCCGGAGATAAGAATGAACATTAAAACGATTAAGAGCCAATAATTTGATTAGAATACTCTTTTTTAAATTAACAGCAGCCATAGACTAAACTGAAATCCATTTTATTAAAAAAGATCTGACGTTTCGACTTTTCATAGAGTCATTTTCAAAGAATATTATACAGCATTACTGTACTTTACGCATGAAATGTTGTGAAAAGGAAGAAGAATTTTGGCTGTATATATTGTGTGTTACTTGTAGACAGGCAGTCAGTAATTATATTATCAGTCCCTTTTGTTTCACTTTTCATAACATTTCTCGATCCGCCTGGATCAATATTCCTTTTGCTCTTTCTCTGAGAAAAGCCGTCGGGAAACACAATCAAAGGTACAGATCTAACTGTACGATTTAAGTCAGAATTGAATGATGCTATTAACAAAGACTCTTTGACTAACAATCGATATTCAACTTTGTCCCTGTCCATTATACGCCAATTCTCCCATTCAATTGTGTGAGAGGTATCTATATGTTTTTGTAGAGCAGACTTCACATCTTTAATGTCTGAATAATTATCAATCTCTTTGAGAATCTTTCGATCAGAGGCATTCATTAGTTTAACCTGTTCCGTTATTTTCTGAGTAGCTTTTGTTTTAGCTACTCGAGCTGTTTTCACTGATTGTGCTGCTGTGGCCATAGAGGATGAATTCACATTAGATAATGACTGAGATGATTGAGAACTAT